CTATGCCCTCCTGCTGGTGCGTGCGTCATTTCACGCTCTACAGGCTAAAAATCTGTCAAGATCAGGGTGAAAAATGTCTCCAGGATAGGAAATGTATAGACTAATCTTATTCCTTCCCAACACAGACGTAAACTGTCCTCGGTGTATTACATTTAATTCAGAATGTACTGGCACATATACACATACAGAAAGTGGTCAGCTCCATTGGATGATCTTGAGTTCAGTTTATATTAGGAGCAAAGCTGGACAGTGCAAAGCTGATTGGACTATTGATATATAAAGTGAGAGAGACTATCTTAACTTCTGGACTTCTAAAGATGTTGCTTCAGTGGAAGAACTGATGGAAGAAGAGTACTACCTCTGCAGAAGGTGACCTACAGCCTTCATGACAACATCAAGGGATTCATCCAGTGGTATAGATTTTCTGGACCAGCTTGTTTCAGTGTTTCATTAAAGCTAATGTTGTTTACACTGAGAGAAATATTCATAATAATTTATTTTCATGGCTGCCCTGTTCCATCTAATAGAAACATTTTAGATGTTTTCTTTGTCATTTTATTCACATTTCCCCCCAAACTCAGTCTGACATAACTGGCTCTTTGGAAACTTTGGGAGCACCACCAGAATGTGGTCTCTTTGTGGTCGATCTGCATCTGTAATCCTTTCATGTTTGTAATTGTGAGTGTGATTGTAATACTTTTGCTTCTTTGTAGTCATTCTGTGTCTCTTACTGGTTGTTTTCTCTCTCTTTGTGATCATTTTGTTCTCTTTGGAATCATTTTGTATCTTTGTGCTCAGTTTGTGTCTCTTTGTTGTGTCTCACCCTAGTCGCTTTATGTTTCTTTTTAATCATTTTGCTACTCTTGATGTGTCTTAGTGTTCGTTTTCTCTCCGTCTGTTCATTTTGTGTCTCTCTGTGGCCAGTTTGTGTCTCTTTGTAGATGTGTTGTGTCTCTGTGGTTGTTTTTCTCTCTTTGTAGTCTTAAGCATTTCTGTTAATTTTATGTCTTTATGCAGTAGTGCCAATAGTTTCTAGTAATCCATCCATGATACTAACAAGTCAGCTACCTTGTAGACTCTAATAGGGGGGTACCACAGGTAGTGATCAGATTTTAGGGGGGGTCCTTTTTCAGTTTTTGTTGCTTTATGATCAATGGTTCAATGAAGGAGAGGAGCTGCTTCTGCTACTACTGACATTCAGTGGTCACTTGGCAGTAAGTGAGTTGTCCTCGTCCTCAGCCTGGAATTACAGGTCAAACCTTTCAAAGCTTTATGTTTCATGTTCAAAATCACCTCCCCGTTGTCCCTATATCTCATACTAAAGATAGGGGTATAGGGGCTGATTTTCTGGTAGATCAGATGGCGACTTGGAACCAAACTCATTTTCTAATATAAATGCAAATTGAGTTTTCTTGTATCAAGGCAGTAGATAAGACAGATGAAAAATATGCCTCTCAGATCATGACTTGAACTATTCTAATTTTCCAGACTCTTCTGTTGCCCATGTCTGGGAACTCAAAATTGCCTGAGATGTTTTCAAAGAACAAAATAGCTGCAAAGTTGGTAATTCTCCAAAGTATCTCCCCACTGAATGTGTGAAATTTGTTTTCATACCATTTGAATAATACTGAGAGGAAAACGGGCATCAAAGTGAACGGGGTACTTGCACTTGAACCACGGTTCTATCTGAACTCACAGACAGAACCATAGTCCAGAAGCTGATACTGATTCCACTGCCTGGTATCTCAAGTTATAACCAGATGGACCAAACAATGTTCTTCAGAGCTGTGAGTGCAACTGCATTCCCTTTTAATCTTCTTTGATGTCAAGGCAACGTCCTCACCACCTCTCTCTTCATTATCCTCACCCTCTATGTCTTTCCATTTCAAAAAAGGTTTTGTACAATTTGCATTTATTTTTGCTTTATTTCAATTTTCGAAGAAAAGCTTTTTCTAGTGGTCAAAAATGTAATTAGTTCTACATTTATAAGATGACATTCACATTCATATCTCCATGGCATTTGTACTCTCTTTCTTCATAAATGGGACAAAAAAAAAAAAAATTAAAATATGGTTCAAAGCTTCTCACACACAATCTCGAGTCAGATAACCACTTGAATCATCTTGGAAATGGCACACAGTGTGATAAAGCTGTAATGATCCTGGCTGATACCCGTCACCTGTAATAACCTGTAAGAAAATTTCATGTGTTTAAATTAGAGCAGTGCACCATGTTTTACTCTGTGAGGTTGTCATACATGTGTTTGGATACCGAAAAGTAACAGCCAACTGAATTTAGTGGAATAAAAATAGAAAGTCTTACAGAATGAAAATCAATTAAAGTATCAGTGCCTCAGAATTACACTAAAGTAGTGAAACCAAGTACATGCCCTTAATGACAGAGCAGATTGTGAGTATTTGGGACAGTTACACATTGTGTGTGTTCGTCAGGTTTTGTGCTTCAGAATATTCAATTTGAAATAAAACTGTGGATAGTTCATTAAAGTGCCAAGTCTCAGCTTTAATATGCCCAAAGTTGAGACATTCAAAAAAGACTATACACATGAAGTCAGACAAAATCCTGATATTTAATATTTTGTGTAAAATCCTTTCCAGTCAATAACTATCTGAAGTCTTTGACCCATAGACATAAGAAGAAGTTTTGTATCTTCCCTGACGCTCTCTCATGCCTTCACTGCAGCCTCCTTCAGCTCTTGCTTATTATGGGGGTCTCTCTGTCTTTAGTCTGGTCTTCAGAAACTGGTATGCAGCTCAATTGACTTGGCAGTTGGGGATATTCCACCTCTTCATCCTGAAAAGCTCTTTGGTGGCTTTGGCTGTGTGTTGAGGATTTCTGTCATGCTGAATGATGAGATGTCCTCCAAAGAGCTTTGATGCATTTTGCTGAATCTGAGCAGACAGAATGCTCCTGTATACCTTTGAATGTGCTTCCATCAGCAGTGTCATGTGTCAGTTCCAACGGCAGCCATACCTCCCGAAGCCATAACAGAACCACCGGTAGAGGTGGTGCCTTAGGGTTATGAGCTTTTCCTTTTTTTCCCCCACTTTTCCTATCATTTTGATAGAGATTTATTTTTTTGTTCCATCACTCAATAGAACTGTTTTCAAACCAGTTTCTCTTTGTATTTTTATTTTGTGTAAACTGCAACCTGGCATTTCTGTTTTTGAGGTTTACCAGTGGTTGTGTGATGAATTCTCTGAGATATGATCATATAGATTACCAATAAGGAAACATGTCCGCCTACATACTGGAGAATATTCTTGACTTGCTGTGCAGTCATAAAGAAGTTTTTCTTCACCATTCAAATGATTTTCTGGTCATCCACAAGAGTTATACTCCTCCGTCTACCAGATCGTTGACCATTTTCTAATTTTTCTGATTTGTTTTTTAAAAAAAACACCCAACTGTTTATTTTATCAAATCAACTGCCTTCGATATCTGTCTGATAGATTTCTACTTTTTTGAGCCTCACTTTTTCACTTCACTTGCATGGTCACCTCTTTACTCCTCATACAGTGACAGACAACTTCGCCTCAATCTAAATGGCAACTCTCAGTCAACTCTGAGCCACATGTGAGCTCTTTTGTGCATAAAATAACACTAAAACGACACACAGCTGCCCAAGAAACATTTAGCTGCCAAGCATCAAGTTACTTTTGTATCACTGAAATTTAGGCACTATGTGTTAAAATGGCTTTATTTTCCACACAGTTCTTCAGCACCATGGACAGCAGCCAGCTGAGCTGAGGGCCTCTGTCACTACCTGCTGGTGAAGACAGGGAACTGGAAACTGAAGAAAAAGTTGACACTTTCTTGGTGAAATGTGTCACTGGTACAGTAACAAAGTACGATTCATATAGTTCATGTTTGTGGCAATTTATTGTAAACATAATTATCACATTGTATAAAGTTATTATCTAAACTATGTGCTTTGGGTAAGAACAAAGTAACTGGTAACTGCTGTCAGATAAATGTGGTGGGGGTAAAAAGTATAGTATTTACTTCTAAAATGTGGTGAAGTACAGCTGTGAAGTAACTGTAAGTGTTTGAATCTGTATCCAAGTAAAGTACTAAAGAACTTTTAGTCTACCATATTTCATGAGGAAATATTGTGGTTTTTAATTACGAGCCTACATTTATCTCACAAAAACAATTACCTGTTACTTTGCAGATTAATATTATATCAACAGGGTGAAGCAATTGGTATTACAAAAGATCTTAGGTTAAATCAACTTGGCATTTAGTGTAATGAACTTCAAATAACAATTACAGTTAAGGATTTGAGTTAAATTAACTCAAGTTTTCATTATACATTATTTAATTTTTGTTTAAGGCGACCGTTTTTTAAAGTAAATTCAACTTATCTGGGCTTACAGTGTGTCTATTCTATGAGTTGTTAGCACTTTCACCAAAGAGACATTTCCTCTCCTCACATGATTTTACTCAGATAACTGTTTGAGGACCAAATCAGTTTATCAGGACCTCGGCTTTACTTCTTCTCTAATGTATCAGGGGGTTATTTATTTACACAGTGAGAACTTTTATTTTTGATTCATTTTGCTGATAATAGCCTACTTCTGTACTTAGATCTAAGAAGGATTTTTCATGCAGGACTTAATGGAATATTTTTACATTAATGTGGGCCTCTTACTTGAGTAGCGTAAAGGATCTAAATACTTCTTCCACTGTTACTTGTGTGAAGTGTTTTTATATTCTGGTATTGCTACTAATTTAAGTTTCCATGTCTTATTCCCGGACAATAAAACTTGAATTGTGCAGGTCATTGTGAGCAGACAGGCTGCAGGTCCCATCGGCCAATATGAGGCTGAGCCATCACTGTTGACATCCAATCAGCTGAGGGCTGATGGGATTGTGCTTTTCCTCTCTCATCCTTCGATACATTGAGCAGACTAACACAGATCTAGGTTATTAGCGTAGGGCCTGCACGTTGAGCTGTTTCTGTCGTCTTGTGGTCGGTGATGGAAAACACCCGCTGCTTTGCGAACCGCTTCTCTGACTACAAAGGTGCGCTGCTCCCGGGACAGGGCGTCGAGGCCATCGTGCCCGCCGTGGTCGCCACCGTCGATAAAGTCTTGAAAAACGTTCCCTTCGACATCAGCGACTGCGACGGAGGGCTGTACGATGGGCCGGCCGGGGTGGCTTACATGCTGTACCATGTCAGCGAGTGTCCGCTGTTCTCCGAGCACCGGGACGCCTACCTGAAGACGGCCAAGCAGATGATCGACGTTTCTGTCCGATACGTGGACGCGGAGCCGGATAAAAACATGCGTGCCGCCTTCCTGCTCGGCGGGGCGGGCATCTACGCGGTGGCCGCTATGATATACAAATCGCTGGGCTTGGCTGATTTCGTCAAGCCGCTCAATAAATTTCGTAACCTGTGGGATGTGTGTGCGCCCATCAATTTTCTGGAGTGCGGCTCGGATGAGCTGTTTGTGGGGCGGGCGGGGTACCTGTGTGCTGCCCTGGTCCTCAAACAGAAGCTGGGCATAGAGGTGAGCTCCTAACACGAGGATGGCGCACTTTAAATGGCTTTTAGTCAACCCTGTAAAATATATTATATATTATAAAATATAGAAGCAGTCCATCAGCCTAACTTAAAAACAGGGCCAGAACCTGCAAACACTTTGGAGCTGGCTCTCAGGTCTTTTATTAGCTCATGTAACAACCAACTGTGGTTTTCTGATGTTTACATCACCTAATGCTTATACACACTGGTATAAATCAGGTAGGGCTGTAACTAACCATAATCCATTAATCTATGAACTTTTGTTAATTAACTGACTGGCGTCACAATTTCCCAGAGCCCAAAGTGATGTATTCAGACATGTGTTGTCAGATCAACAGTCCAAAACAAAATGTAGGTACTATTTTCATTTTTCTTACAACTATAATGGTCCTTTATTTCCAGCTGTAACTGTAATTTACATGGCTTAAAACTGTAGCTTTACACATTCATATCTAAAACCAAACTGTCAGCAGTCCAGTTGCATTGTGTGTAATGTAGGCATCATGATTTCATAGGGAAGAGTATGTGGAATAAAAAAAAAGATGACATGATTCTGCTGTATCTTTCTTTTGTTCCCTTTTTCCAACAGTGTTGTATCAGAGGAATGCAATGTGAAATTGTGAGAGTATTTTTTTAAAGGCCCTGCACACTGAAGGCAGTCTACACCCACAAAAGTGATTATTTTATTACTTTGGCTAAGACCTAATTGCTTGACCTACATCTCCCTAATTCTCCCGTTAGCTTTGTAATACAAAACAAAATACACTGTCATTCAGGTCATTCTTATTCATACTGTAAATTTGGTCATGTCCACCTGCTTCAACCTGAGCAGAAATCTAATCAATTACTAAAAAAGTGAAAACATCTGTGTGGGTGTGCAGAGCCTTTAAAGGGCCTTTAATTTTATACTTATTCTACTGATGGTCAACTTTGCAAATGACTGCAATATACTGTGTCCTTTGTTGTGCAGATTCTGAGCAAGGATCGAATCAAATCTATTTGCCAGGCCATCATAGAGTCAGGAAAACAGTACGCCAGGAAGAAGAGAAAGCCTTTCCCCCTCATGTACTCATACTATGGGACAGAGTATCTTGGTAAGAACAGCAGCAAAATTCACTAATAAAGACATAAGTCGTTAAGGTCTCCCCTTTTTATCCAAATAGACTTTAAGTTCATGTCTAAATTACCATCTAAGATTTGAGTCTAAATCTCACTTTCAGAGCTGCTGTCAACTGATGGTACTGCAGTAAGATCTTCTGTTATCACACAGTGAAGCTATGCACACAGAGGGAGACTGAAAGTTATTAAGTTATTGATGGATGCTAGTTAGGCATGTTAGGGTGTTTGAAGTGTGAGGATATGAGTCTTCTAGAGATTATTTTTAACAGAGAGGGACAACCCTGCTCTGATAGCATTTGATAGCTTGCTCCACCATTGGGGAACCACAAATGAGAACAGTATGGACTGCGATTGCCTTGTGTGCAGTAACTGAGAAAGAGCATAAGGTTGTATGATTGGGTTCAAGTAGATGGGTGCAGACGCAGAAATCACTCTAAAGGCAAACAATAGTGACTTGAATTAGATTTGGGTGTCTGAGGGTAGCCAGTATAGATCAGGGAGTAGCAGGGTGTGATGTGCCTTTTTTAGGCTGATCAAAGACCAGACGAGCTGCCGCAATCTGAACCAATTTTAGGGGTTTCACTGGCAGGAACGAAAGGTATAGTGGGTGTAGTCTGCATAGCAGTGATATGAGAAGGCAATTAGACCCAAGGAGGTGGTGGTTGCAAATAGAAGGGGTTCCAGTACCGATCCTTGGGGCAACCTTGTGGGGAGGGGATGGGATAAGGATCTTTGTCCTTGCCATGAGCGGTCAGTAAAATAGGATTAAAAACAAGAAAGTGCTTTGCCCAAGTTGCCCATGAGAATACAGACATCAGGATGCGGTGGTTCACTGTATCAAAGGCTGCTGATAGGTCCAGCAAGATAAGAACTGAGGACTGAACTGCAGCTCTAGCTGCCCTTAGGGCTTCTATCACAGACAGAGCCATTTTTGTGGAGTAGCTGCTATTAAAGCCTTGAACCATAATTCATGGGTTTGCAGAAGTCTGAGACTACAAACACCTACTCTACAATGTTAACTTTGATCTCCATTTTCAGATGGAAGCAAGTGTGTGACTTGATAGCTCTCAAGGATTAGATCAGTATCTTAAATGTACAGTTCACCTAATGACAGAAACCTTAGGCTTACTGCACTGCAGCATGGTTCGGTGGATTTGGAACTGTTTTAGGATACTTTTTTCGATAATTTGTGGTTTTGATCATTTGATACACAGTTTACAGTCCTAGTTCAGCATGTAACTCCTTGTCATATTTGGGACAGTGGTTGCTGCTGCTTATGTACTTGACAGGAACTCATCTGTTCCTCAAGTTTAGGTTTTGAAAAAACAATTATGAACAAAACTGTCAACTATGTATAATGAGCTACAGTTTAGAGGATAACACATAAAAAAAGTCCCTCAGTAGTCCATTGTGAATGTTTGTGCTTGTTTGCTTTGGGTTGTGTCTATATGTGTGCCTGGCATGGTGCTTCGTTGCATGGTGGTTTGGTGAGTTCATGTGATTTCCCCCCTCCCTCCCTTTGTCAGGTGCTGCTCACGGCCTTTCATCAGTGCTGCAGATGCTGCTGAGCTACCAGGACATGCTAAGTGGTGCAGAGAAGGACCTGGTGTGGCAAAGCATAGATTTCCTCATGAACCAGGAGCAGAACTGTAACTGGCCTGCAGAGCTGGGCGCCATCATTGAGAGAGAGAACGAATTGGTGCACTGGTGCCATGGAGCACCGGGTATACAGTATTATTCATACACATTACCATGTTCAGTCAGATTCTCTGCAGCAGTTTCTGCCATTTGGATGTCTCCCGGTTAAATTCAAATCTCCATTATGTCATGCAGGTGTGGCGTATCTTTTTGCAAAAGCCTATCTGATCAATAAGAAGCCCCAGTATCTGGACACATGTATCCGCAGTGGGGAGCTTGTGTGGCAGAAAGGTTTGCTGAAGAAAGGACCTGGGATTTGTCACGGAGTTGCAGGGAGTGCTTACGTCTTCCTCCTGCTGTATCGGCTCACAGGAAACTCGAAATACATCTACCGTGCTCAGAGGCAAGAAATCTCTCCTATTCTTATTCATTGCATGTCTCTTCTTCCTCATAGGGCTGTCATTATTTTACAAAAACTGAGGTCATGAGATCAAGTTCCACCAGGCAACTATTAAATGGATTCCTATGTAGTTTGGTGCAGATTTTCATGCTTTGAGAACTTTGTTGAGTTAATCTGACTCGATGTCTTGTGCCATTATCATTTCCATATTTTGATTTGTCCAGTACATTGGTTTATCTATCCAACTGTTTGGTTTTCTCAACAAACTACTGCTCTGTGCATTTTATTTCCCAGTATGATGGTCTGAATGCTGTTTCAAAGCTTCTCTATACATTTTTTTTTCAGAAAAACACTAAATATCCCATCATGTCTAATTTCAGTACATTTGTTGAATTCAAATTCCTCCTCAGATTCTCGAAACCCTAATTTCTCTCCACTGTTATTTCCTCCCCAAAGGTTTGCTGAGTTCCTCTTCACTGAGGAATTTAAGGCCGGCTCGCGCTCAGTAACCAGTGTCTACAGTCTGTTTGAAGGCCTGTCAGGGACGGTTTGCTTCCTGGTAGACCTCATGCAGCCGGACCAGTCAGAGTTCCCTCTGTTCAGTATCTTTGTGTGAATGGAAACCTGGTTAGTGCCATTCATTGACCTGAACAGACACCACTCCTTCCCTCTGAAATCCCTTGAGAGCTGGATTGGTAGAAACTTTAGAACCAGGATTGATACTGTGATCATGAGTTGCAGTGGCGGGATGGTTGGTATTTGTTTGGGGGCTTAGAAAATCACATTTGAGTACAGTTGCAGTAGAAAAATGGTCTTGTTTTGTGTCTGTACTAAAGTGAATGTTCAGCTTTCAGGCTTTACCAGATTTCATCCCGCTTAATGTCAAATTGCCCATTTCAATTTGCAATGTAATCAACTGTGCTAAAGCAGGGGTTTTCAAACTGTGAGGGTTGCCTCCCCAGGAGGGTGTGGGAAAGTTGAAGGGGAGGCATGGAGGGAGAGACATGAGGCAAAGATATCATGCTTCTTTTAGTGATAACCCAGTCAAATCTGAACACAGACATGATTTGCACATATTTAGATTCAGTGTGACATTTCCTGAGGATATTGTCATGTCTGATGTCCATCAAGGATAAATGTCCATAATTTTGCATGGAAGTCATTCAAAAAGAGTCACAAACTTGCCTGAGAATCATATTGTTAAGTGTTCTTCAGTGTCAAAGCAATCCAATGATAGCTGTCTGTACATCCATGGATACATTGCAAAAAGGGGTTGTGGTTAGCTAATTTGGCATACTTTTAATTGTGCTATTTTTCCAAAATGTAAACAAATCAAACTATCTCGATTTTTGTCTGGGAGGGAGGACGGGGGCATGCTTTCAGTCTTTGAAAACCTCTGCACTAAAGCATTGGGAGCTTTGAAATGTGGTACTGCTTGTATGGTGATTGAAACTGCAGCATATTGTACAAAGATGGTGCTCTCAGGTCAGAAACACATGCACCATAAACAGCTAAAGTAGATGGTAATCACTGAGGTCACACAAAAGAAAAAGAGAAAAACAAGCATCACATAATGCCTTTTAAAATTTTTCTACCACTTCACCAGCTCAGCATCACATACCGCAGACCTTTGAGTTTATGGTTTAGGGTATGTAATTTCTCAAGTTGTTGTCACAACCTTTAATAATAAATATAATGGAGGGATTCTGATAGTGAAACTATGTAGATAGGTTCATCCAACAGACGATGAGGGGAAAAAAATGTAGTTTATTGTCCTAATAATATTCTCACTTTGTTTGCGCTGTGCAATATTACTGACTCACCTATCTGAACTGAGGTTGTAGCTGTGTGAGAGCAGTTTATATCTATTTGATATTTCACACTGTGTTAGATACTGAATGGGGATGTTTGAAATGTTCAACATTCAATGTTATGACTTTTACCCTCTCTTAAAAAAGAACAAAAGAGTATGTTAGACTGTAGGTTTGTGATGAAGACTGACAACATAAGAGTAGAGCATGTAGTCAGTGTGAGAATTTAATTTTTCTTCCAGTAAGGTCTGTTCAAGATGCTACTTTTTGCAACTCAGTTATGTAAATTATGGTCAACAGACAATTTCTTCACATAAATGTGATAATGAGGCCTTAAAAACAAATTTCCAGCATTTGGTCATGGTCATGTCTCTCAGAGTAAAAAGGATTCACGACTCTGGGAACTGAAAAATGCTTTGGGCAGCGTTTCTGACATGTGGCTCAAGTTGGTAAAAAGGCCTGTGAATAACGGCAAAACCAAAGCAGTTTCCCAATGCTAACTGTGCCTGTTGTGGAACATTTATAAGCTGTGTATGTGTGTGTGCTGTTTTGCATTTGCAGTCCGAGCTATCCACAACAAAATCTACAGGATTACTGTAATTAATAAAGTGTCCAAGTAAAAACAAAACAAGACATGTTTTATTTAAGTTTTGAAAGCCTTACAGACATTACGTTCACAGCCTGACATAATGACAGGTACATAATCACATTTGATTTATATGAAAACATGATCTTCAAAAAAGCATCTGACATTACAGCTTCCTCCAAATAATTAAGATGATCACATTGTGGAAGCTACAGAATAATCAATATATAAATCTAAATAATACAGCACATAATGGTCATTTTAATGCACTAAATTAAATTTTACTGATTATAATTCCATCCACCATTAATATAATATTTGAAAAATCAAAATATCCATATTACAGGTTCTGCAAAAGACCGTCCCTGCCACTAGATGTCGCACCACACCACCAGCACTTCCGGCCTCCCATCAGCAACAGCCCCCCCTCCCCATTGAAAACAGACATTAAACATACAAGAAGAAGAATAAGTGAATAAAGTTACACTGTACACACCAGAGCCAACAGAAAACAATCCAGCCTCAGTCATTAGCCAACGCTAGCATCGTGATATGTTCCACTCCAATGCTTGCAGAAAGCCAGCTAACGTTTGCCGGGAAAAATCAGCTAACAGCAAGTTAGCTAACGTGATCTCACTGATGAAAATGACATGTAATGAACTTCCGGAAGTTAGCTTTCACCCATGTTTCACCTGAACGGTGCTTACTGCACCGTGTCGTCTCACACGTGGCTGCCGTGGTGTCTGGGTGCTTATGGGTGGGGAGGACCAAAGGTTTAACACAGGCGTTGCAGGTACCTAAATAAAGAACAGAAAAGCTCAGCTACAACAACACAGAGGCCTGACTTCGTTCTCTGCTCAGGACGCCATTACTCCACATATTTTTACATAGAAATGAATTATTTTGCTATATTGTTTAAAATCTTGCTTAGATAACCTTACAGAAAGACATGTAGGAAAAATAAAGCTATCTAAGTATGCTACTGAAGATTAATTGTTTGTACACATCTCTAAATGTTGACAAATGTAAGGGGCTCAATATAATTTACAAAGTCAGTGGTGGGCAGGCTAATTCAACAGATGGGTGAGTTTTGTAAGGTCTGGCAACTTAAACCTGACTCTTCATGTCACCAGTGCTGATAGTCTCTAAACCTTACTAATAGTCTTTAGTTTTTAGCAACAGGTTATGTGTATTTATATGGCCAGGTACCATACAGTTTACAAGTGTGATCTAATTTGTTCCTTTTATTCTGTCCTTTTATTTAAGAAATGGAAAGTGGAGAGATCTGTGAATGTAAAACAGGCTTCTCTCACTCCATGCCAGGGCCTTCAGTTAAGTCTGTTGCAGATAGTTTCTGTTGTGGAGACTGGAGGTGAGCCAGGACCCCTGTGGAAATGTTATTTTAACTTGAGTGGTTTCATCCTGTGTCATTTTTATGCTTTCTTTGTGTTCAACGTTATTTATAGTTTGTTTTGTTGTGTTGTGCCTGCATCTTCAGGTCCCACGTTGAGTTTAATCTTAATATTGGCACAAATGTGTGGAATGTTTTCATGACGGCATCAAACCAACCAGTGTTTACCAAATGACACGGATCATTAGTTATGCTACGGTTTCCTCAAGCATCGTGTCCTGTTTGCACAAAATAGAAACTGCCGACTGTCTGCAGGGCCTTATCTCCTCGCTGACAGGCGCTTCAGTGAGCGCAGCAGAGCGTAGCGCCTCTTGCGCCCCCCGCAGTCTCTCCCCGGTACAACAGTTGACTGTGAAAACATCCTGCCTCTCTCCAATCGCTGTTGAGCTGCTGCTGCGGCGGCGGCGGCGTGCCTCCGACACAACGGCGTCCCGTCTCTTGCGGGTGACTGACAGACTGCTCGGTGGGAACGTTATGGATGAACGGACCCTGAGCGAAGCAGCGCGCCGCATTCCTCAAATGGCGGAGTGAGCGAGGATGCGACTCCCCAGTTCCATCTTTGTGTCGGTGTCTCTGTTCACGGCCGAGACCACGGCAGCGCTTTACCTCAGCTCAACGTACCGGTCCGCCGGAGACCAGATTTGGCAGGGGCTCACGCTCCTCTTCACGCTCGTACCGTCCGTGCTCGTGCAGCTGACCCTCACCTTCATCCACCGGGACCTGAGCAGGGACAGACCGCTCATTCTGCTGCTGCATATCCTGCAGCTTGGACCCATCGTCAGGTCAGTGGTGGCTTGTTTATTTCTGTTTCACTCATGACTGTGCCCCCCCCCCCCCCCCCCCCCCCCACACAGCACACACACATCACACAGAGGGAGAAGAGAGCGAGAAGCCCCTGTATACCGTTGGATTATTACTCTCCACCGTACCGTTAAACGTCTATTATAACTCACAGGTGTCTAGTCCATGGATGATTTTTCTCGTTACAAACATGTCCGGCCTGTGTGCACATAAGCTGCTTATGGATGGTTTGATGAATGGATTGCGCACATGCTGTTGTTGTTATTTTCCCCGGCCTTTTGTCTCTAACTCGCTGCAAACATGCTGGTGCAATGAATGTATGTCTGTGCCATTCAGTACGGAAATAAAAGGGTGATCAATATTCCCACTGCTCATCGATATGTTCCATATCTACCCACACAGCTGTTAATGTGCTCAGCCACCACTGTCAGTGCACTTTCACTAAGATCTCCTCCTCACAGTTTGATCACCTTCAGGCCATGGTCTCACAGGCCAAGCTGTGTCTGATTTATTCATGACTGCTCAAGACATGAAATCACCCACCAGGCCAACTGGAGCACATGAAGAAGCTGACATACATATATACGTCGTGTGGCTGTTACACACTGGTGGAGGAACCTTTTAAACATCTGTGCACAAGAGCTTTAAACCATAATAGGCCTGGTCTTTCCCTGTGTAAGCCCTCCCTTGGTCTGGCTGGACCATCTGCCTCTGCTATAGGAATCTGAGCCTAATCCTACATCTAGAAAACCTCCCATACTGAACACAGATATGTTCTCAAGTATACAAGCAGCAGGATATGTGTGTGTGTGTGTAATCACATGAAAACCTATTCATCCCCTAAAATATGGAAACTAGACCCGCAACAATTTGTCCTTTAATAGATTAGCAGATTGACAGTGACTGTTTTGATAATTGCAAAAAATATATATATATTTGATGTTTCCAGCTTCTCAAATGTGAGGATGTGCTGCCCTTCTTGTCTTATATCATATTAAAATGAATCTCTAAGTTTGGCGTTGTTACTTGTCTTCAAATAGCTTCTTTGTCCATCAACTTGACATTTTCCAAAATAATTAATAATAATAATAATTCATTAAGACCAGCAGATTAATTAATAATGAAAATAATTATTGGTTACGACCCTAATAGAAACACACAATTAGAGTTTAAGTACTCAGTCAGTAGATTAACAGACAATTAGTCATCAACTTTAATGGTAAATCCATTAATGTTGTTTAATTGTTTCAGTAGCCGCAGGGCAGCAAGTAGCTAATTGATTGTTACATTATTTTAGGCAGAAACAAACATTATTACAGGTTACACAGTAGAAAATGAAAAGTAAATAAATATATATAGGGAGTGCCAAAAACAGGGATGATATATATATACAGTGTGTGTGTATATATATATATATATATATATATATTTACTAAAAATCTAAACAGGCACTTTTGCCGACTTGTATATAGTTGAAAATAAAAAAAAGATCCTGAAAGGAAATCTTATCTTCCAACTGACCTTTTAATCTACTAAGCATTGACTCGCAGCATGTTTTCTCGACTAGCCCATTTATCTAGTCTTTGACATCTGGAGCTATAACTATTGTAAAGTTATTTTTATTAAGGTAAAAAAAAAAAAAAAAAAAAGCCCAAACTTCACAGTTTCCAGCTGCTCAAATGTGAACATTTACTGGTTTTCTTAATCATTGTCATCAGTTCAATGAATATACCAATATACCAATACAACAGTTTGTTGTTTCAATAACTGATTAATCAGTTAAGTCAGTTATTACGTACAGTGCTGATTGTTCTCTGGTTCAGGGCTAAAATGTGTAAAATGTGCTGCTTTTCTCTGTTTTATATCATTGTAGATTCAGTGTCTTTGATGTTTTTTTTTTTTGTTTGTTTTTTTTACAGTTTTCAGACACTTTGTCGCCCAAATGATAAACTGATTAATCAAGAAAACAATGATCAGAGAAATCTGATAATAAATATAGTTGTTTATTGCAGCTATAGGCTACATGTAATTATGACTTTTCACTCTGCTTGTGAATATGAACAGTCAGTTTACAAACAGTTGAACTGACGTCTCTCGCAGCATGATTATTCCCCAGCAGTGGCCTGTGTGAATCTGACCCTGTCTGGTTTGTTCCCCCTTCAGTGTGGATTCGAATGATTCTTGTTCAAAATTCTACATCTTTCCTCAGTGAAGAGCAGATCTAAGAATAGCACATGTCGCTGCTGGCTCCTTATCTCTGACAACACAACCGGAGAGAGAATGTCCGCCTCTACTGCTGGTAGCACGCAGCACTTCCTCCTGTTGGGCTCATCCGCCTAAAACAACACTTAGTCCTTATCATTTTGTGTCACAGCAGCAATGACATTCATCTGTTTGTTTTTGTTTTCTTTATTCCAGCATCCCCTCTAATTAGCAACCCTATAATTCTTCATGACTGGGCATTGTGTGATCATTTCATCCGTCACTACTCTGAACAGAAGTGGAGTTTAATCTGTCTGTTAAGTGTTTTTGTCATGAGAACATCTTGACAAAATAATCTTTAGCTTGAAACAGTTAAATTCAGTTCAATTTAATTTTATTTACATAGTGCCAAATCACAACATACATTATCTCAAGGCTCTTTACAGGGTAAGGAATATTATAGAGAGAAATCCAACAGTGAGCATAGTGAGCAAACACTTGGCGACAGTGGAGAGGAAAAACTCCCTCCACTCATTAACATGATTTACTTACTTCTCTTGCATGTTTGAGCTTCACTGTTAAAGGTGTGTATGTACGAGCTGATTTTGTGCCATCACAACTAGTTTCAGAAGTGTGATGAGTGTGAAGCTTGAACCTCCGCCGCCCACTTAAGGTGCAACAGAAACAAGCTGTAAACACAACACTGTCATCTTACCTTTTAAGTAATGAACACTACACTTTATGAAGCGACTAAGTCCTCCACTTTAGCCGCTACCAGCTGCTCATTGAACTCTGTTTAGATGTGTCCTCAGAAAAATGATTTCCAGTCTTTACCAATGCTTCGTATCATGATGCATTTATTCTCTAGTGTCCATAATCTCCAATTTCCATGAACTCAAATATGTTCTCTGTAAAGTTAAACAAAAAACAGCTGTGAACCAGGTTGTCCAAGAGCAGTTAAAAACAGTTTGCTCCTTTCCAATGAGCAGCACCTGTGATTTCTGGTTTATGGCATACGCCTCCTAGTGCTTGAAGGAATATCACACAAATCAAATACACACTCCCACACTCTCTGTTAGTTCTCTTACTGCTAGTGAAAGAAATATCTGGCTCTTCAGCTGCTAAATGCTCCAGTTAACTGTTTCTAACTATGTCTGTCAGCTGTTTGGTGCTGAGCAGGAAGTGAACGGCTGCTGCTGCAGCTCAGAACGACGCGATGGGAGCAATGAGTGAACCAAAACAGAAAAGTCGCAGGCTGGAAACCAAAACTCTGAGCTGAACAACACTAAAAGGCTCCACGAGCTGAGATTATTTGTGGGTTTGTCAATGTGAGCGACTTCTCTCACAATCAAGTAGTAATCTGATTGATTGTATTATTAAAAAAATATTGATTATAGCTTTAAGTTAAGATTATTTTGTCAGAATCTGGATGTTTTGCAACCTTCACTTTCTTCTTCACCTAAAGACACAAACACATCCACATAAAACATGCTGAAGAGAGAGAGTGCGGGACTGATGTTCATCATCTGAAAACCAGCTCACAGACTCCGTCTCCACAGTTTAATGTATTCATATTTCTAATTAAGTCAGTGATGTGTTGACTGTGCGTGTCTCTCCAGTGTAGTTCAGACTGTCTTGCAGCACCCCTGTGGCTTAAATCTCCCTGCCTTGCTGTTTCATTGGCACTGTGTATCGGCGCTGCTTTACCGACACAGCGCTGCCTCGACCTCTGGCCCTCCGCCCACATCTGCACTTAAGTGCTTTTTGTATCTCACTGGCTGATGTCTGACTGTGACTCTCACTGTTACTGACAGATCTTTAGACATTCACAATAACAGAAAGCTACACACTGGTTTAGATATTGATAATGTTGGTAAAATTACCTCCGGCTTGTTGGGCTACTGAAGCTGAACTGCAGCATGTCCGTCATTGCCTGTTAGATCATCCTTTGTTGGAATGACATGAAATTGAAAGACATAATTGACAGATTCATTGATCATGAAAAGGTATTTGCAGCTACTGAGTTCCTCTAAATGACCAATCAGAAGCGTCTGCAGCTCCTAATCATCTCTGTTCCCCTGGTCTTGTTGCACTGCAGGTGTCTGGAGGCGTTCTGTATCTATGGCAGTGTGGGCCGAGTGGAGGAGCCTTATGTCAGCATCACCAGGAAGAAGCAGATGCCCCGCGGGGGTCAGTCTGAGGAGGTGGAGCGGCAGGTGGGGCAGGCGGAGGGGAAACTGTTTACACACCGAGCAGCCTTCGCCCGCACCTCTGTCATTCAGGCCTTCCTGGGATCGGCCCCCCAGCTCACCCTGCAGCTCTACATCTGCGTCCTTCAGCAGGGGATGTCCATCGGTAGAGGTGAGTCTCTGGGCTCTTTTCAGCTAACTCCGCTGAGAAGGGAGGCTGTCACCAGTCCACAGCTCCACTGTGATGTGGGCTGATCAGCAAGGCGCCATACTGGAAATAAGAGGATGGTGTTTTCATGAGTCAAAGTGGCGTTATGTAACTCTGATATCGAGGATGGAAAATGGTGAATCTCTCTGCCAATTGGTGCAGATCTGGGGTCAGCCTGTTTAACTGTGTGTGTGTGTGTGTGTGTGTGTGTGTGTGTGTGTGTGTGTGTGTGTGTGTGTGTGTGTGTGTGGTGGTGTGCGTGCGTGCGTGCGTGCGTGCGTGCGTGCGTGCGTGCGTGCGTGCGTGCGTGCGTGCGTGCATGCGTGTGAGAGAGCCAGCATTTCTGTTCCTGAGAGATTTACTAAAAGGTTCACAGAGTCAATCCAGGACATCTGGTTTTTGAATTAGGACAGAATAAAAGAGATTATAAATACAGTAAACAAGTGTTATTTCCTCTGCTGCTGGTAGTCTTGACACTTCTGTTTCACACTTATTGAGTCAACAGCTGCTATGTGAGCTTAAAGGGCAGGTTCACACTTTTTCAACAACAGTCAGGGGCCCATATGTACAGTAAAACATTTTTATTGCTGCTCCAACTCTTTCATACTAACAGATCCCTTCATTATATGCTTTCAGTGAAGTGATGGGGGAAAAAATTCATCCATCCTCAAGTGGGTCTCATCCAAAGTTAGTCTTTCTAACACAACATTGCCTCCTCAAGGATCTTTTAATGGACAGGAGGAATGAACCAAAAACTGTCTCAGTGTTCATATGAGCACCCTAATGTTTTAACCCTCTGGAATCTGTCTGATCCTCAGTGAACACATGGCTTTATTTACTCACCATGTAGAGACGAGCTGAGAAAACATTTTCACTAATCTACCATCACACACAGACAAAAACACACTGAGAAGTCACATTAAAATAAACAGACCGTATTATAGTTGTATTACTTGCATTTCTCTGCTGTATTTGTGTGTATTAATAGTGAAACTATATTTTTTACAACCTAGAACTGTTTTTATGGCTCCACGCCAGCGACAGCTAGGGCCAAAGGCATTGTATTTTCAGGTTGCCTGTGTCATATTTCACGTATATTTGGTTCCTCGCAGCTTTATACTTTGATAAATTGACTAAGTGAGACGTCAGACTTGATAAAAGGGAACCATGCATATGGGTTATGACAGTTTTTAAAAGGTGCTAAACAAAGACAAAAATGACTGCATAGAAAGAAAATGAACTGAAATCAATCTGGACTCCAATATAAAAATGTGACTCTATCCTTTAAATTAAGGATTTCCATATTTCTCTCTTTTTCGATGTCAGGCACCCTGATGGTGATCTCCCTCCTTTCCATTGTGTATGGAGCACTGCGCTGCAACATCCTGGCCATTAAGATCAAATATGACGACTATGAAGTGGACGTCCGGCCCATGGCTTATCTGTGCATTTTCCTGTGGAGGAGCTTTGAGATTGCCACCCGTGTGGTGGTCCTGGTTCTGTTCAGCTCAGTGTTGCAGCTCTGGGTCCTGCCCGTGGTTCTGCTGAACTTCCTTGTTTTCTTCCTCTATCCCTGGATCCTGTTCTGGCAGAGCCACTCACCATTCCCTGAGAATATAGAAAAAACTCTGACCCGGGTGGGGACCACCATCGTGCTTTGCCTGCTCACCTTCCTCTACGCCGGCATCAACATGTTCTGCTGGTCAGCCGTGCAGGTGAAACTCAATGACCCGGACCTCATCAATAAGTCCCAGAACTGGTATCGCATGGCCGTGTACTACATGTTGCGCTTTGTGGAGAACGCCTCACTGCTTCTGCTGTGGTACATCTATAAAACTGACTTCTACAATTTCATCTGTGCGCCGCTGCTGGTGCTACAGCTCCTGGTAGCCTATGCCATCGCCATCTTCTTCATGCTGGTCTTCTACCAGTTCTGTCATCCATGTCGGAGGCTCTTCTCCTCCAGCATGACCCAGGGCCTCTGGAACTGCTCCTCTCTTCTCTGCCTGATGTGCAACTCTGCTTCTCCGCAGAACAGGCCAATAGGAAAGGCCGTCCTGGAGCCACCGAGCCCCACGGAGCCAGCGAATGACAGAGCCCGTGACACAGCCAGTGACACCACGGACGACATGCCAAATGACACAAGTTATGACATGCTCAACGACACAATCTATGACATTCCTAATGAAATGGGCAATAATATAGAAGGTGGAATCAATGGCGACGTTAGCCTGAGTGTATCCTGCAATGCTTAACGCATCACAGTTGTTTGATGTGCCATTCAGAGGAGCGACTGTCACAGTTATCACACCCTCTGTAACCTTTTAAGTGCCACATGGATCCCTCTGTGAGTTGAGTTTACATATTAAAAACCTGTGATCTTCATCTCGCACGGTATATCTCAACTCTGTCGCCTGCTCCTCCCACATGAAGCGAATGTGTCCTTAACTCGAGATCTGTCCCGGCTGCAAACATGCACAGCGTTCACTCGTGTTAACCAGCGTGCAGAAACACAGCAGAGGTGGTGCTCACCCATCTCACCAGCCAACACCTTAACCCGTCATCCTGCAGCCTTTAATACAAATAAAAGCCCACGCCATGGACACCGCCATTTTTTTTTTTTAGGTTTGGAGACTGTGTCCACTTATATGCTGCATTACTGATCACAAGGAGCCATGCATTTGAATTGATTGTATTTAGTATATCTCTTTAGCATGGAGGTGTGCATGTGTGGAGCCTCTGATGAGGTGTAACTATAATTCTCCGGGGGGGGGGGTGAGGGGGTGAGTCTCTTTTGTACAGGTTTTTTTTTTTCTTTTTCTGGAGACTCCTGCTAGTTTTACGGCTGCAAGCAATCAGCTTTTTTACTCCTTGATAAGAGCTTTATCATTAACGCCACGCTGCTTCTGTGATGTATTTGTGCTCCACACATTGTTTAAGAGCCTGTTCGGTCACCAAACACGTCACTGTAAAGCACGCACATCGGCAAGCGTAATGTTTTTGCACGTTTACAAAAAGGATTTAAGTGACTTCGATTCAGCCGCTGAGCAGCAACAGCTGTTGTGATGTAAAATGCTTCTGTTTGGATGTATTTGTTTTTCTAATTCATGCTTGTAACGTCTTTCAGCTCTGCGTCTGTGTCTCATCTGTTACAATATTTACACCGAGTGTACACACATTGTTTGGAATTGTAACCAGTATATTTGCTTTTTTTTCTCAATCTTTTAATGAATAATTCTGTGTGTGAGAGGGAATGTCAGTGTTTGTTTTTGCACTAACTCCTTTTTGCAATGTATCTGCAGAGGGATGACAACCTCGGGAATCACATGAATGCTCCTATGATATTTGTACAAATAAGACAAGCAACCTTTGAAGCCAAAAAAATACGAAAAACCTACGGTACACATCAAACATTCTCATACATAAAAAGATAAAAGGCATTTAAAAGATGAAAAAAATCAAAATAAATTTATATTTCTATGTGAAAATTGTGTGTATTGTTTTCTTTTTAGCTGAGAAGCACTCACTCTTTATGATCCTGTGCTAACCTCTAGTGGATGAAAGACCAAACTGCAAATCAGTCAGTTTGTTGAATATATTTAATGACTCCACAGTCAATGTTCAGACAAATAAATTCATAAAACGGTTTCAGTGAACTCAACATACAGTTCAATGGTAAAATTCCAGGATTTCTTCAGGAAAAGTCTAGAAAAAGTGCCTTGGTTGTTTGGACTGACCATTAAATGACTCTATCCTGGAAATACACTCTTATCTGCACAGCTACAAATACATACTAATATAAATATTAAGAATATTAACACAGACTAGTAGAAACACTTAACGTAAGTAGGTCGGTATCTACTAAAAAACAACTTGTCTTAAGGAATGGGCAACTTTCCTCTACAGTAACACCTCAGTCCTGTATGGAGACAAAATATAAAAACAAATGAAGTTCTACATTAAAGAAACATTACAGGGTCTTGGGACAATTTATGGAAATAGTTGATGGATCACAATATTTAGTGTTCACTTTTTAAGACTTAAAAAAAAAAAAAAAACTACATTTTTTAATCCCCTAGCTTGCACTCTGACCATGAGTTTGGTCCCTACAAAGCAACATTTTCTCACAGTCAAACTGGCCCATGATTGCAGGCTGTAGACTCTCAAAACACAACTCTTATTCATTCTGAAGTTTTGTTTTCCAAGCCTTTTTCCAGGGGAGAAAATAGACTACTTGTAGATTAACTTCCACCAGAGGGTCTTTATGGCTTCTTGGTCACGTGCCATTTAAAGCGCAGCTGCAGTCATGACGGTGTTAGAAGACAGAGCAGAACACAGCTCTGTGCCGCTGTCACAGCGCCACAGCGAACACACTGACCACACAGTACATGGTGCGATTCTCCCACCTGACCGTGCAGCTTCCTGAAAGAGACAAACAGCAGGAGAAATTATACTGAGGTCTACAAGGAATGTCTCATATTTGTTTCTGTTTCTCACACCCAGATATTAGAGCTGAAACCATTAATTGATTAGTTAATAACAAATATGATATACTATTACTATATACTACACAATTAATCATTTTATATCATTTTTTAAATTAGTTTTCAATCAGATAATTTACAGTTTAGTTTTAAATAATAATTCTGTACAGCTTCAGATTAAATTGTTATTTACGATTTCAAATGATACCAGCTCTAATTATATGTTGTCTCTAACCGTCAGTGGCAGTGTCCCAGTAGCAGGAGTTGGCTGTGTGGAGACCAGCACCGCTCTTCTGCATGATGGTACAGTTTACTAGAAAACACCAGAGACCACATGTTTACCATCGCATACAAGCTCTACATGTCCTTTAGGCTTCGTGTTACTGTATATCATAGACAGTTGGCTCACCCATGTATTTGAATGGCCGTCCCTGTTTCACCAGGTGAGTCAGAGAATGCTCCACTATACTGGCCGTCCACTGGTTCACTTTACTCTGATTATAATCTGTTCCACCGATGACACCTTCAATACACTGAGACAAAAGCACACATTACGCTGTTGTCGCATGAAAGAGTTGATTTACAATAAAATACAAATACCAGCGATTTAAACTCACCTCTTTAACTGAAACACTGGCATCATCAGAGTTGAAGACAACCTGCTGGATAATTGGAGAGTTAGTGGTTGTTACTGTGTTGTTTTATTCCAGTTTTTGCATCAAGAAACCGCCTGAATTATTAATTATTAATCAAATTCAATTCACAAGTCAATTAGTCATTAGTTAAAAAAAGATGACACTTTATGTAAAGTACAGTATGGAGACTGTGACTTTAAAGTGTTGATGTGATTTTATTTTGTGTTAGTGTTATGGAGTTTGAAAACACTTGTGGCACATTGAACAAAAGCACCTGCCAAATAAATGTAATGTGAGGCAGACTTGGCTTCTACACTTGCAGAGCATGTCATTGTGTGTGTGTGTGTGTGTGTGTGTGTGTGTGTGTGTACTGTATAGCATGCACACTCATATCACACAAATCCCTCTAGAAACAAGCCTCTCAACAATGTCTAATCCTGAAGTGAATGTAATCCTTCTTACTTCCAAGCTAAATTGAGGATACGCAGTTTGAGTAAACTTTGTTTTTAGCTAGTGCTGGAGCACCCTGCTCTACTTTGCCAGGACCCAGGAGTGCTGTGTGTGTTTCTCAAAGTTTACTGTATGTAATCTGGTAACACAGTACTGTTGTTTGCAGAGTTAAATGTGCTCGGCTCAGAACAGGTTCTTTCACCGCAAAATTAAAACCTACAAAGTATAAGCATTGTAATTTATTAGAAAAGTGAACTTTCTACTGAAAAGTGTGTATTATGATGATGGCGATAATAATGTCAAAAAATATCAAACCTGGAAGACAAATGTGTGACTATGGATGCTTCTAGCATTTAAAAGGTTAAGATTTAGTCACTAGCTCCTGATTCTCAGATGTCAGACCTTCCCACCTGCTCATGAACACACCATAACAAAAGTCCCAAAGAGCATTTTATTTATCAGGGAATTCAATATGAGGTTTTCAACTACAATTCTGACATTTCAACAATCAAGACCTCTGTTTAATGTCAGACAAATACTTAGAAATAACACAATAACAGCTGTTGGGTTTGGTTATCAAATATCTCACAGTACATTGTACATATATAAACTTAAGTGTCTCATCAACCTGAGCCCCATTGACTGATTCATCAATTCATCATCAACTGAACAGGCTGTTTCAGTGTGAGTGAAACACACAGACCCCCAACTGTGACTGTAGCAGTGACTACTATCGGTTGATTTGTTAATAAAATATTCTGCTAATAATATGAATATAAATGCGATGATCTGACCACACCCTGATAGAAATACTATTAGCTTCAGCTAGCTGGTTTAGCGAGCATAAGCTAACTAGCTATGAAGCGTCCTCTGTAGAAATGACTGCGGACGTTTCGACACATCAGAACTAAAAACAAACAGTTTCACCTCTTCTCCAGAGTTATACTCCTCCATCGTTACTGACACAGACACAGCTGTCTCCTCTGTCTGTATCTGTCTGCTGCTGTCCAGTTATTGTTGCTGTCTACTTCCTGTCGTTCACAGACAACGAGCACAGACAAGACACTTCCGGTCCTCCTGAGGCAGATCACTGTGTGAGGGTGTCGCCTCCCTGTGGCTGAACTCACACACACCACAGAGCCAGACCAGGATCAGAGTGTCTCACAAAATACTATAAATCTGTCTGTGTCTTTTTCAGGGTCAGGGGGCCCCTGTGTCTGATCCCTTTTTTTGTGTGAGTGAAATGACTACAAAGATGCATAAAATGACTGCAAAGTGACACACAAAGATACATAAAACGACTATGAATATACACAAAACAACTATAGACATACAAAACGACCACAAAGAAACAAAAACAAACAAATTCAGGAACAAAAGAACCACAAAGACATGTAAAACAACCACAAAAACAAAATGAGTTATAATAGGCACGAAATGACACAAAGACACTAAACATCCTCCAGCATGTAACCCAGTATTAGAGTCCCTCAGTCAAATATATTTCTAAACTGTTAACTGTTTTAGTTCATATTGAGCTCATTTGTTATAAAGTTGCGTTTTTTCTGAGACAAGAAACAATTAATTGACAAGTTCAGTGACAGAAAATAATAAAATATACTGAAGCATCAGCAGAAATGTGTTTAGAGTGTTAAAGGTAAGAGTAGTCATCATATTATATACTCATTAGTTAACATATTACTGAACATAGTTACATTTAAATGTGCTATAGTTTGTTGTAACTTAAATTTGTTTCTCTATACAACTGAGTCATGGGTTAAAGGTTCAGTGCAAACCCAGTGTGTATTCTGCATAAACATCAATAAATTCAACTCTCTTCTGTAACACATCCAATTATGGGCTGGGCTCAAACTTCCACTGTAATCACATTATGCAAAAGGAAGTTCTTAATATTTGGAAATGGGAAAATTTGCTGTCTAATTGCATAATAATACAAAGCAATTAGTGATTCAATTCCCTTGAGATGGTTTCTGAGATAGTGGACAATGTCACTGTAGCTGAGAAATAACTATGTGAACTAAAACATGTGAAATTCATAAATAAACCTTTATTTAATCAGATCAGATCTCTGGCAAATAAGATTTTATTGCAAAAATAAGAGACCTGAGTACTGCTGAAGAAATAAGAGCAGAGATAAGACACGACAAAACACACAAACAACATCAGAAACACACACACACACACACACACACACACACACACACACACACACACACACACACACACACACACACACACACACATACACACACACACACACACACACACACACACACACACACACACACTTATTTAAAAAGGTCAGAAGTTCAAATTTTAAACTGATCTAATAGGATGAGTTTTTTGTAATCCGTAACAGTGTCCACTGTATGAGAAAAAACATTCGAAATGTAATAATAAATAAAATATAAAATAAATTTAACCCTGTGTACCTACAGAGTATGCTTCACACGTGATACTATATGAGAGATTGTTCTTTTTAAATATGATGTTTTATATTTCACATGTGAAATAGCTGAAAAACATACGAAAAAGTTCGACACAATGTTTAACATATGTGTCAAACTAATTCATATGTGAATTGTGAAATATGCTTCACATGTAATACAGTAAATCCACATGTACTTCTTTGTAAAGATTGTGTTCTTTTTATCATGTATTGCAATGTGATGGTCATGACCAGATTTATTCATTCATTTCTATTGGTTTATTTAACAGGAAGACATTCATACACACTGCTGTTAATGATCCAGGTTTAACCAAACAAAAAACCAAAAAAAAAAACCCCCAATGTTACATAGTCGTCCTAAACAGACGAATAGCCTACATTTGAAATAGGGCAGAGCAGAGCAATAGGAAAAATGGAATATTAATGTTAGTGCTGTGCCGGGCATCAGGATGCTGCATTATTAACATGCAACACAGAAGCGTAGAACAGCCCACAGAGAGAAACATACATTAAAAACAGGCAAAAAACATAAATTACTGTGGCACAATTAAATTAAAGGTCAGAAGCTTATAGAGACTGAATGACAAAAGCAGAGATAAACGGAGAAAAAAACTGTCTTATCTAAACTAATATTAAATTATTAATATTAAGTGTTTCATATTATCAGCCCTGTTTTTCTTCCAGCTACATATACTGCTATTAAATAAACTGTCACTCTACATAAATACAGATTCCCAGAGCATCATGTAATGTACCACCAGTGACAACAGGGAGTTTCCCTGAACCTATTGTACTGCGGTATGATGTGCTGTTTTTTGACGGAAACCTCCTTTAATTGAGTCATTAAGTTTATTGCAGAAACAACTGTCGCATTGTCAGAAATATATAAGCCTTTTTGTGAGGATTGCGTGCATACACACACACACACACACACACACACCACGCCCCCTCCTGTCGGGAACACCCTGGCTGTGATATTCTGCCTTCAGACGGTGCCGAGGCGCACCGACACACTCACGCAGGCTACGGTTCCCGATCACCGGACTGACTCTCTTCTCCAGCCCGCTGTGCTGTGCTCTCCCGCCGGCCGGCTCTTCACCTCTGTCCGCAGCCGCCAGGTAAGACACCGCCGCTCTGCAGGTCAGCAGGGAACACGAGTCCGGGACACCAAACACCACCGTGTTCTCAGTGGCATATGGCACATATGTCCAGCCGCTGTCGCTTGTTTCCAGTTAATTATGTCTTATTTGTGTCTTTTCCTTGTTTTGGGGGAGGGGGCGGTCTGTTCACCATCACGACCGCGACCCCGGAGGACTGATCACATATCAGTGGGACCAGACAGCCCACTTCCCAGCTAAAGTTAGGCGCGTTTGGGCAGGTGCAATGCAGCAAAAAGACCCTTTTCTTGTGTCTTGTTGCCTCCGCTGGTATCGACGCTAGATATAACCTGCAGTCAACTCAGGTGAATTGAATAGTCTGTAGAAAATATGTATGAGATATGTTGCATTAATTAACTTGCTCCCAACAACCCAAACCGACTGGTGGAAAGGTTATGAGACCGGTCATAAGATTACTAGTGATAATATGGAGGGCAGGAGTTTGAAGAGACAGGCAGGGGATATTATCAGATAATCACCTGGGTTTGATCTGACATGTCCTTTCAGGGCATTGTTGAACAATGACAAAGAGTGACTGGAGAGAAACTGCTCTATTGTCCCTATAGTATGTTAGTGTCTCATAGTTGATCAATAATAATGACCTTGTCCATGGTAGTTTAATGAGGAGTCACCAGTATATCTGAGGGCTTTTCAGGGGTGTTTGGTGACAGACACACAGCAGTAGACTGAATCACTGAGGAGAGAGGTGTTTCCGCCATTTAGTCCCTCATTGATGGAAATGGGGTGGACAGAATAAAAGAAACACGTCTGTGTAACACACAAACTGCACCTGTGACTGCAGCCTCCAAACTGACCATGAATCCGTTAGTTTTAGCTGGATGTTCCTAATAAACTGACATCTTAGTGTAGTGTGGGGATGCTGCTAAATGTCAGCAGCGGTGGTTCGTTATCTGACATAATGTTCAGTAGGTGTACCAGGACTGGGGAGGTGTAGATTAGACCGGCTTCACTGATGAAGCAACATGCTGACCTCATTCCAGTTCAGAGGTGGTTTTTGCCTCAGTGTTGCCGGCGTTTTGCTTGTGTTTGATGCTCCCACTCGCAGCGCTTATGGGGAAAATGCTGGCATGATATCCAGTTGTGGGTGAAAATAAAAGAGATGGGAAAGATATGGTAAGATGTTGTCAGCAGGATTTGAAGCCTCTATTCAGCACCCAGAAATCCTGACAGGAAGGTTTGAGTCTTGCAGATTTGAATTATGATGATGCGTAAAGGATATAAATTACATTGGGGTTGTAGGAGTTGCATTTTTTTTTGTTCAATCAGTTTAGGGGCTGAAGCAAAGGTATATAACTCATTATTGTTGAATAACAATATGTATTTTTAGATAAATTGATTATTCTTTTGGTCTATAAAATGTCAGAAAATACAGAAAAATGTCTCAAATGGCCAAAATGACATGTTTAGGTTCCTTGTTTTGTCCAACCCCGTATCCAAAATTAAAAACGTTTTCAGTTTACTATCACGTAAGACAAAAGCAGCATGTCCTTGCAATTGAGAAGTTCAGTTGGTAGAGAAACAAGGAAATGTTTGGCTTCTTTACTTGACAAACAACTTAACGATTAATTGATTATTGAAAGTTTTCTGGTGATTGACTATCTGACTAATCAACTAATCCAATCAGCTGTAACATCCTTAATCACTGGTGTCCAAAAATCCAGAAAAAGACACTTAAATTCTTGCTCTAGCTGAATGTGAAAGACGTTTTATTTATAAAAAGCATAAAAATTTCACATCTGAGAAGCTAAACAGGGAAAAACATTTTGCTGGATTAAGACGGACTGAAAGGAGCAGTACAACGTGTGGAAATACACTTAATCTAATTCTTTAAACCTTTGTCTCATTATTAAAATGACTGTCAATTATTTTAGTGTTGATTAAATAATCAATTAATCCACTGCTTGTTTCAGCACTGTTATATTGCAGCACAGATTCATTATTTGGTCGAACACTAGCACAGAGTTTAGAAAAAGGTTTTCCCCTTAGGTCAAAACATGTTGACTAATTCATGGTTTAGTCTTATTAGTTATTTGGCATCAAGTGTTAGTCTGTACATTTTAATTGGCCAGTCAGTTTTAGCAGCCAATGTAGTGTGAAAATACAAAAGGCCAATTCAACCTTCCACAGAGGCTATTAAACCTGTCAGACAATGTGGCTGCTGGCCAAAGTGGCTACTTACACTGACAAAGTAGCCACAGACAATATTTAGCCAGGGCTTTCTATCAGCCATCATTCTTGAGCCTGGCTGGAAAACATTGTCTCTTTGTTTAAACAGCTGTAAATTAAAACAAAACAGTTGTACTAATGAGTAAAAATAACACCCATGAGTTCATGTGTTATCATCAGTTCCATTATGAAGGCCTGTAAGTGGATGTGATATTTAAGTAAGTCTCCTGGAGGATTACATACAGTATGAGCTTTTGTTCCAGTAAAATATTTTAACACCCCTGACAAAAATTTTACATTGCTGTTTTTTTCCATGAACAACAAGCTTTTGCTGCGTAAGATATCCTGCCATACTATAATTTGTCATAGTGACGCTTCCCCAAATTGGTTCATTTGGCTTTGGCTATAAGAAATAGATGCAGTATCTGCTGAGGCTGTTTTATCATTGTCACAGGGAGAATGCCTCCCTAATGATAACCAAGCTCTTATATAGCTCACACACACCCACAAGGCTAGAGGGGGAATAAATGGGTGAATAAAGGAGGAGAGAAGCCAGGGAATGTAGGGATTCCCTGATTTCTTTACATGCAGGCAGCAGAGCTCATTCAGTGGAGCAGAAAGAAAGCCCAGGGGAGTGCAGTCACACAGCATTAGAGGTCTGCAGTTCCAAGATCTGGCAAGTGTGTGTGTGTGTGTGTGTGTGTGTGTGTGTGTGTGTGTGCACCTACATACATACATCTACGTTCACACATACATGCATTATTATGGTTGTGTGTCAAGGCTGTAGCTCATGGTGCCAGACTGATGTGCTCTACCGTACAACCCCAAAAAACGTACTAAATATTGAGTCTGACTTTTTCGTGTCTGTTTTACCACCCAGAAAATATCATACCATTGAACTGTATCATTTTTTGTGAAAAAAGATTGTAAAATTTGCAGTACAAAACTGAGTCTAAACCCCAGCTGAACACAGTAAACAGCTAAAACAAGCTGATGATTTTTGCGTCAGATTAGCAGGTGTTTTGCTTGTGTTAGATGCTGCCAGTCACAGCACTTATGGGGATATCAAATTCATTCCTTTACTTCCCAAAAGCTGTCTCCAGCGGTGGAAGGCAACGTCAATGTTATCTCTTGTCCCTATCATGTCTTTTCTTCTACTGAAGTTAACACGATAACCAGTTAGCCCCAGCCCATCTTGTCACTTTCCGATAGCGACTCACTGTAGCCTCCAGTCTGCCCTGAAGATCTTACGCTTCTCTGAGGGCGTATTATAACCTTATGTCTTGATTGTGTCTCTTGTCAAGCCACAATCACCACCACCCGCCCCCTGGCAAGAAACCACATTCAGCGGCCCCTTTAAAGAGACAATCCCTCTGTGAGAAGATGTCAGCAGGAGGATTTGAAGCCTCTAATTTAGAACCACTGGTCCCGATAGGAAGGCTTGCATACATGATGCATGTAGGATGTACATTAGGGTTGCAATTAATAATTATTTTCATGATAAACTGCTCAATTTGTTTTTGATTAACGAGATAATTGATAAAATTTGAAAAATTACATATTTTCTGGAGTCACTGGTCCAAAGTCCTCCAATGCCTTACTTCTGACAGATAAGAGTAGATACAAAAGATATTGTATTTACAATGAGATAAAAGAGAGAAAAGCAACAAATGCACATTTAAGAAGCTATAGGCTAACAAGCAAATATTTTGAATTTCCCCTTGATAAATTTATTCACTTCACATTCATAATATTTATTCTGTTAACTAAATAATTAATCGGCTCATTATTTTTGCACTAAATAACATGTAAAATATGTAGCCTACCGCAATAACTTCTGTATCACAGCAAAACAGCAAACTAGCTAAAAAGAAAGAGCACTATCAAGTGAAACTAGCTGGTGACATAGCCATAGCTAGCGTTGGCTAACGCTAAAGCTAAATTTGCATACTGATTTTACCTAGCCTCTGTATTTGGAAAATGTTCATTTTAATAATCCAACATCTTGATTAATCCATATAACTGAACAAGGCAGTAGTTAGTAGTAGTATTGTGGACAGACATAGCTAAACAGAGATGCATTTAATCCCGACAATGAAGCTTTGTAATTTGTAGGCTCTCTGGCAAAATAAAACAAGTATTGCAACTGTTTTTCCAGCTGGCCTGAAAACCTTACACCCGTTTTCAGGACGTCACTGCCTCTGTAGCCTCTGCTCTTGTGGAACAGCACTTTTGGCATCCTCTTCGTTTCTCACATAAATCCTATTTACATTTGTCCACTCCCTTGTACTCTGGCAAACAAAGAGCTGTAACAGGACACGTGTTGTGGAGATACACACACATAGTCTCCCTATAAAACATCGGCCATATTGAATATTAGTGTATTAAACCTATTATAATTTCTGTGATCATCTGCATGATTATATCCAGATTAACCCTGAGCTGCTGTAACAAAGCTCATCTGTGCTGCTGCACCGAGTAACGTCTGATCTCTGTAGAGCCATGCTGCGCTGGGTTTCCCTCCCTCCCACTCACTTATGGCTCTCCTAACCATGACTCTCCATTGCGTGCTGCGTACCCATTTGGTATGCAGCCTATAGCCCTACGTGGCCTTGGAGATACATTGCGTCCCTGTTCAATCATGGCCGCAGCGAGGTAATCAGTGGAGGCCTGTCCACATCAACCTTGCTGCAGATGTGGGAGGGAAAGAAAAAATTTATCAAAAGCAGAAATGTAATTTGGAGGCAGTGCTGAGACGAATGACTCAGTTGAGT